AAATAGTAGACTTTTCTATCTTAAAGGCATAAATTTGGAAAGGATAAATAGTAGCGTAGCTTCCATAACATAATTTGATACGTTTAAAAACAAAAGAGAAAACTACATATACGTACCAAGATCGTAGAAATAATATCATTCATCACTAGGCCTTGTTATTTAAAAGCCCAATCCTTTAAGGAATAAAATGATTAAAAAAAAAAAGCAATGACTTGACAGACAAATTATTATAAGGCTACGGTAAAGCTGTGCAAAGGGATTATATTTTAATCATATTTAAAATCATGTGTTTAGTATAGTTTATCGGGGGAACATAAAAAATTGCAACATTAAAAGTATTGTGTCATAATTTTCTCTCTTTAACACCAAAATGATTGAACTTTGTACTACATGCAATCAAGGAACTGAAAATAGTATACCTCCAGGATCTATATATTGTAGAGAAAAGGACCAACAACTATCAAAAATTCTGAAATAAATCCCAATAACATACTCACATAAAACCAATTGGCTCCATTTCTATGAATTTCTTTGTCATTGTGGCTATTGTTAGGGAAGTCATCCAGACATGCATTTGTTGGGTAGTGGAGGACGGCAAAGATCATTGCCAACAAAACTATTTGCTTCAAAGGTTTGCAATTGGGTGCTTGTTGGAATTTTCCCTTTCAAATCATTATAAGACAAGTTTAACTTGTTCAAAAAATTCAAATTGGAAATGGTCGGTGGAATTTTGCCACTAGGTTTATTTTTTGAGAAATCTATTGACTCCAATGATCCCATGTTGCTGATACTTTGAGGAATTTCACCATGCAAAAGGTTGTTGGCCAAGTTCAAAAATTGTAACCCCACAAGACTTGAAATTTGGCATAGCATCTCACCAGATAATTTGTTATCTGAAAGATCAAAGCTTGTGGTAAGGCCTGGAAAAGTATAGTCATCATGCCTTCCTATCAAAGTAAGGAGCACATCAGTTATGGAATATCTAGAGCGATTTACTTGGCTCTAGATGTACGTTTCTAAGCTATCGTTCTTTATCAGCATGGCAGCCAAGTTGTTGATGCATTTTGGTATTTTTCTTGTCAAGTTATTTTGTGCAAGATCAAGGATTTGTAGATAATTCAAAGAATATATTTGATTGGAAATCTTACTAATGAATTTGTTTGATCTAAGGAGAAAAACCTTTAAATTCAAGAAAACCTGTCCAACCCATAATGGAATAATTCTTGATAATTGATTCCCACTGAGATCCAAGAAAACCCATCTAGTATTGTTCTTCAAACAAATAGGAAACTTGCCTAAGAGTGTGTTATTGCGTAGTTGCAATGAACCAAGCCAAGGTAAGGATCCCAAAGACTGCGGCAAGTTCCCACTCAAATGGTTGTTATCAAACTTGACAAACACTAGATTTGGCCACATCTCCCAGCAATTTGGTATTTCACCTAACAAATTATTTAATGCCAAATTGAGGTGTATTAACCCTATTTGTTTTACTTTTCCTTGACATATGAAGTAGGCTATGGACCCAGAAAACCAATTACTTAGAGAGATCCAAGTGAACCACATTGGATGATATGTACGGAAGATGACTGCTTAAGTGGTTTGAGGCTAGATATATGTATGATATCTTGATGGGATTCTTCATTGTATGAGAAAGATCTCCATGGAGATCATTGTTAGAGAAATCAAAATAAGAAGCATGGGGAAATGCATACCAAACCCATGTGGGGATGGAATTGGAGATGTTATTGTTGGGTATGGACAACATTTCAAGACACTTGAGTGATTGCACCCATAATGGAAAGTAGGGACCTAAATGCCACCCGCTCATGGACAAGAGTTTTAACTTTTTAAAAGGACTCCAATTGGAACCTACTTCTAAAATGAGTTTGTTTCTTGATGCCAAAAAACAGTATAGCTTGGTGAAATTAGCAAGGTGATCTTCACTCACCTCTCCTTGAAAAAGATTATTGCTAATTCCAAGTGCTTGTATTGTTATAAGGGATTGTATCACCTTAAAAGGATTCCCACTGAATTGATTGTCATCAAGATAAAGACGATTCAAAGAGGTGAGATTTTTTAAAGATCTAGAAATTTCACTTTAAATAGAAATGTCAGAAAGATCAAGTTGAACTAGATTTTTAAAAATTCCAATTTGGTTTGTCAAATGACCATATAGTTTTGAACTAAATACAGACAAATTCTCCAGTGAGTGTAACGCACATCCTGAGATTATTTCTAATATTCTAGAAACTTGTTGATTGCATTTTATGTTTGAGAAAGAGATGCTTTTAAGCTATAAAGATTTCTTAAAGAGCTTGGAATTGGCCCTTCAAGCTGATTATTTGATAAATCAAGGGTAACCAAAGAAGTCAAGTTCCTAATTGCATATGAAATTGTTCCATGCAAGTTGTTCTCATGGAGACTAAAAGACTTGCGATGGTTCAAACTATATAACCAAACAAGGATAGAAGAATTAAACAAATTATATGATAAATCAAGATCTTCAATGAGAATGAGGTTTTGAATACCATTTGGAGTGGAACCTTGCAAATTATTATTGCTTAATTTAAGAGAAACCAAACTCTTTAGTTGAAAAATCCACTTTGAAATTGAAAAAACTCCTAAATCATAAGAATGAGAAAGATCAAGAATTGACAAAGATGTAAAGTTAGTCACCATAGATGGATCAAAATGATGATGAAGAGTACACCATGACAAGTGTAACTCTATCAATGAGGGAAATGATTGCAAAACATGCAACCAATCAAATGCATTAGATAGATTCACTAAACGTAATTGAAGATATTTGAGTGAAGAAAGGGATGAAAGCCATTGAAGATTTTCTGGAAACAATGATATCCCATCCATGTCATCAAAATGATAACTGCCATCAAGATCAAGATAGAGTAGGCTAGACAGATTTAATCTTTATTTTAATTCTTAGTTCATTAAGTTCTATTTGACTTGTATGTTTGAAAGATTTTTTAGCCAACATGTGGGAGTTTAAGATAATTAGAAGCACATATTGAGCGGTTAAGATGAACAATTTACATTAACAAAATATGCTCTTCAGCGAGAAGCGCGCAGAGTCGTAGCAGTGTTGTCTAATTCTCTTGTTCTTCATCTTCAACCTTTCGCCATCCCCGTGTGTACGTCATCCAGAGAGGCAAAGTGAATGGCGTCGAAGACACAAGTTGCAGAGGAAGACACTTTGTTGGCATGGCGGAAGCTCATCGTTCAGTGCCGCAAAGAGATGCTAGCTGCTGAAAATTAATCGTTTTGAGTTTTGAGTCTCTGTTTGGCTCTGTTTTTTGAATAGAAAACAGAGGTGGAAGATGGAGAAATCATTCGAGCATTTGCTCTTGCTCCTCATTGTCCTAGCTTCTGGTAATTAAGATCATAGAATTACAACTTATTATGTATATCAGGAAAGGTCTCGTTGTTACTGATGATCATACAACTATTAAATTAGAAGAATGATCTGATCATTCGAGAATATAATGCTAACATTATTAGACAGAGGTGTGGCTTATACGTATGCATTGTGAAAGACAAGGACCTCATTGTTAATTATCACAGAACAACTTAATTAAATTAGAAGGACCTGATCATTCATGAATACTGTACTGTGGCTAGCTAATTGTATACGGCGAAACCTTTTCATGAATGGAGGAAGCAGAGATCAATGGAGTGGAGGAGAGGAAGAGTATTTTTTTTTAATATTATAAAAAATTGTTAAAAATATCTCATATATAATATTTTATAATAAAAAGCATTAAAAAATTTAAATGTGAGATCTACATAGTAATAGAACAGGCAGTAAATTTGTAATGTTAAGGATAGAATTAACTTGAGTTTAAATCGTTTAGTAACCTTTCGATAAAGTTGTGATGCAATAACTCCTGAACCTTTTTTTTTTTTTTTTTGGTCGTTGGGTTTGTGTGTGAGGGTTCCAAATCCTATGTCTCTTTTAGTTTCCTTCATCGTTAATTAATAGATTGTTACATAAATCTTATGCTATACATAAATATTTTAGGATTAAAAGGTAAGAATGCTTTAGAACTTTTTTTTAGAGACATCTATCATTCCAAACTTTTTTAGAGCATTTTTATTTTAAAAATAAAAAAATATTTTTGCCCCATTATTAAATATTAGGAATGTTGACTGTTAAAGTAAAGTTTGACTAGAGTATGTTACTGTTTTGTCCTCATTCATTTTTGCATTTTTTAGAAGAATTCATTAGAGAACAAAATCAGTGACACTGAAGGAATAAGGCAAAATATAAAAATATTCTTAATCAAACTTTAATTTAACGATTAATATTTTCTTTCAATATTTAATGGTGGGATAAAAGTGTTCTCTTTTTGAAACTTCTAGAACAAAATGTGCTAAAACAATATTTAGGATGCTAGACGCCCCAAGATAAAAAGTTTTAGAAGATTTTTGCCCTTAACCCAATTTTTTACTAGTATTTTTTTTTGCCAACAATTTTTTGCTTGTATTTATTCATATTTAACTGACTTTAATTAGTTTTTACCATATTTTTAATGCACTTATTTCATTTTTCACGATCTCTTCATACACCTATTCGATCACTAAAACTTTTTTCCTTTTCTATGTTAGTTGATTATTGCCTGCTACTTGTATACTAATTCAATTGTCTTTTTATCAATACCATTTTGTATTGATTGTTTTAGTTAAATAATGGCCTAACTGATAACTATGTGGATTTTCTGTTCAAGCCCAAAACTTGGTCCACGTCATTCTTTTTGAAGGAAAATGTATACATATATTAAATTGTTTATTAATTGTTAGTTTAACTATAAATTATACTCATTCAAATATAATGTGTCCAATATTATAACTATCAATTTTCACTTTTTTCCAAGTTAAAGAATTTCAATCGCCTACCACCGCTTCACCCCCAGCCTTGTCTTTTTTTTTTTTTTTTCTTTTTTGAGAAAGGACAAATATATAATATATAATAGGAAATAAAAAGATTATAAGGCATAACAGTTTAGTTCTAAATAACCAGGCCAAAAGAAAAAGGAAAAGAAAACATCAGCATGGCAAATAAAGTAAAAGACTTTTTCAAAAAGCTGAAGAAAGACACCAATATCCTGAAGAACCACATCTCTATCTGTCTGAGTTTTTCCAAAAGACCTGGCAAAAAGTGAATTCTTTTTAAAACCCACTATTCCAATTTGAACCATTTGCAAGCGCCTTTCTCGTGAGAATAAATAGATCCAGTGAAGAGCAGCGCGAGCCACAAAGCAGAGATCAAAACTATGGCTTCGCAAACTCCAGGCAGAGGAGGGAAAGATTTGGACTGCCGATCCACAGTATCTAATGATGCAGAACCACTTGTTTTGACTCAGGAATTTCTTTTTCCTAATCCACAGCGTCCATCCATGCCGATATACATTTAAAGCAATTGGGGAGCTGAAGAAGTCATCACATCCGGTGTTAGCTTGTGATCTTGTTGGGATGACCGACGATAAAGCATCGCTATAATGAAGCCATGCATGTAGCCCCAGCCTTGTCATTTGAAACCAATCCCATGTAACTAATTAAATGAATTATGATTTTATTTAAATTTTAAAAGCATACACATTAATAATAAAAATAAAGAAGACTTGATTAGCTTACCATTTATATTTTTCTCTAAAACTCAAAACTCATCATTTATATTTCATTTTCTATGGACAAGCCATTAAGCCAATATTGGAGCTGCTTTCTCTTCTGCTCCATATAATATTTAATTTCTTGACAGGTACTTTTTTTTTTTGTTATCTTTTGTTTCTTTTTCCCCTTCTGCATAATGTTTCCATATGGGATGGAATTGCTAATGATGCTTTGCTTAAATGTATCATTTTTATATTTTTAAAATATACAAATATGGAATATTTCGAAAATTAAAGAAACTAAAGAAGTTCAAATATTTTTCACAGATTTAGAAAATTAAAACTGAACATTTTTATTATTTTTTACTGAATATAGATTTAAGAAGACTAATAATAACTCCAAAACAAATGAAAGTCATTCTTGTTTTCATTCATTCCTAAACATACATATATAAATACACATACATACATGTCATCCATACCCAAGTATTTTTATCATAAGGCTTGAGTTGGATCAAACCTTGTAAAAATAAGTAGTAGACTTTTCTATCAAAATGCATAAATTTGGAGAGGATAAGTATTAGCGTAACTTCCATAACATAATTTAATACGTTTAGAAAACAAAAGAAAAACCACACATACGTGCCAAAATCATAAAAATAATATTATTCATCACTAGTCCTTGTCATTTAAAAGCCCAATCCTTTAAGGGATAAAATGATAAAAGAAGTAATGACTTGACAGACAAATTATTCATGAACTTCATACCATAAATACAACAATAATTTACTCTCTAACACCAAAAATTATTGAAGTTTGTACCACATGCAATCTACGAACTGGAAATAAGTGTACCTCCAGGATCTATTGTATAGCAAAGGACCAACAACAATCCAAAATCCTGAAACAAATCCCAATGACATACTCACATAAAACCAATTGATTCCATTTCCATGAGTATCTTTGTCATTGTGGCCATTGTTAGGGATGTCATCCAGATCAATGCATTTGTTGAGTAGTGGAGGACCGCATAGATCATTGCCAACAAAACTATCTGCTTCAAAGGTTTGCAACTGGGTGCCTATTGGAATTTTTCCCTTCAAATCATTATAAGACAAGTTCAACTTGCTTAGGAAATTCAAATTGGAAATGGATGGTGGAACTTCACCGGAGAGTTTATTTTTTGAGAAATCCATTGACTCCAGTGATCCCATGTTGCCGATACTTTGAGGAATTTCACCATGCAAAAGGTTGTTGGACAAGTTCAAAAATTGTAACCCCATAAGACTTGTCATTTTGCATGGTATCTCACCAGATAATTTGTTGTCTGAAAAATCAATGCTTGTGATGAGGCCTGGAAAAGTATAGTCATCATGCCTTCCTTTCAAAGTAAGGAGGACATCAGTTATGGAATATCTAGAGCGATTCACTTGGCTCCAAATGTACGTTTCTAAGCTATTGTTCTTTATCAGCATGGCAGTCAAGTTGTTGATGCATTTTGGTATTTGTCTTGTCAAGTTATTTTGAGCAAGATCAAGGATTTGTATAGAATTCAAAGAACATATTTGATTGGGAATCTTACCAATGAAGTTGTTTGATCTAAGGAGAAAAACCTTTAAATTCAAGAAAACATGCCCAACCCACAATGGAATAATTCCTGATAAATGATTCTCACTGAGATCCAAGAAGACCAATCTAGTATTGTTCTTCAAACAAATAGGAAACTTCCCTAAGAGCGTGTTATTGCGAAGTCGTAATGAACCAAGCCAAGGTAAGGACCCCAAAGATTGAGGCAAGTTCCCGCTCAAATGGTTGTTGTCAAACTTGACAAACATTAGATTTGGCCACATCACCCAACAATCTGGTATTTCACCTGACAAATTATTTGACGCCAAATTGAGGTCTATTAACCTCATATGTTTTACTTTTCCTTGACACATGAAGGAGGTCATGGACCCAGAAAACCAATTATTTGAGAGGTCCAAGCCAACCACATTTGATGATATGTACGGAAGATGACCACTTAAGTGGTTTGAGGCTAGATATATGGATGAGACATTGAGAGGATTCTTCATTGTATAAGAAAGCTCTCCATGGATGTAATTGTTAGAGAAATTAAAATAAAAAGCATTGGGAAATGCATCCCAAACCCATTTGGGGATGGAATCGGAGATGTTATTGTTGGGTATGGACAACATTTCAAGACCTTTGAGTGAATGCACCCATGATGGAAATTGGGGACCTAAATTCCAAAAGGCCATCTCCAAAAATTTCAAATTTTTAAAAGGAGGACTCCAATTGGGACCCACTTTTAAATTGAGTTTGTTTCTTGATGCAGAAATTCCATATAGCTTGGTCAAATTGGCAAGGTGATCTTCATTTACCTCTCCTTGAAAAAGATTATTGCTAATTCCAAGTTCTTGTATTGTTACAAGGGATTGTATCACCTCAAAAGGATTCCCACTGAATTGATTGTCATCAAGATAAAGATGATTCAAAGAGGTGAGATTTCTTAAAGATTTAGGAATTTCACCTTGAATAGAATTGTCAGAAAGATCAAGATAAACTAGATTTTTAAAAATCCCAATTTGGTTTGTCAAATGACCATATAGTTTTGAACTAAATACAGACAAACTCTCCAGTGAGTGTGAAGCACATCCTGAAATTATTCCCAATATTTTAGAAACTTGTCGATTGCATTTTATGTTTGAGAAAGAGACGCTTCTTAAGCTACAAAGATTCCTTAAAGAGCTTGGAATTGGCCCTTCAAGCTGATTATTTGATAAAGCAACAGTAACTAAAGAAGTCAAGTTCCCAATTGCATATGAAATTGTTCCATGCAAGTTGTTCTTATGGAGATTAAGAGATTTGAGATGATTCAAACTATATAACCAAACAGGGATAGAAGAATTAAACAAATTATATGATAAATCAAGATCTTCAATGAGAGTGAGGTTTTGAATACCATTTGGGATGGAACCTTGCAAATTATTATTGCTTAATTTAAGAGAAACCAAATTCTTTAGTTGAAAAATCCACTTTGGAAAGGAAGAGGCTCCAAAATCATAAGAATTTGAAAGCTCAAGAATTGCCAAAGATGTAAAGTTAGTCACTATGGCTGGATCAAAATCATGATGAAGAGTACACCGTGTCAAGTGTAACTCTGTCAATGAGGCAATTGATTGCAAAACATGCAACCAATCAAATGCATTAGATAAATTCACATCACTTAATTGTAGATATTTGAGGGAAGAAAGGGATGAAAGCCATTGAAGATTTTCTGGAAACAATGATATCCCATCCATGTCATCATAATGATAACCCCCATCAAGATTAAGATAAAGTAGGCTAGAAAGATTCCCAATTTGATGAGGAATTGGTCCAGTGAAAGAATTACCTCCAAGGTCAAGATAGATCAAACTGGAGAGCTTTGCTATTTGATGAGGAATGCTTCCACTAAATCTTGCATAAGAGAGGTTAAGGTATGTCAAACTCTTCATTGAGCCAAGGAAGCTTGGAATTTGCATACCACCAAAGTCATTGCCACTCAAGTCCAAGTATCTCAAATGGTTCAAACCAAGTATTGAAGGATGTATTTCACCACCAAACCCTGCCATATGATTACCATAATAATAATAGGAAGGTGGTGAAGTTTTGAGATGAAGTTGAAGAATATGGCCAGTTACATCATCACAAACAATTGATGTCCAATTGCAACAATTTGTGTCCTTGGACCATGAGGCGAGCCTACTTGATGGATCAAGAAGATGATTCTTGAAATTAAGAAGGGCTTGCTGCTCACTTGAAATGCAAAGAACTTGATCAGATGCTTTGCATAGGCATAAATGATTTATTAGTAAGGTAAGCAACAAGAGCAAAATAAAAACACAATTATTGTTACAGGAATCCATGATAATTTTCTGAGTGGTGCCTGATTTTTATGACTATATACAACTCTTGACAGACTTGTCAGTATTTATAATGTTAGTAGGGGTCTCTATAGTGTGCATGGTAGCTTTAGTTTCCATGTCTATCATTTTCTTGCCACCTAATCCCCAAAACTTTATGCAAAACTTCTACATAAGGAGAGTAAAAAGGTTATGTCCATGAATTGGAATAGTCTTTTGTTTGAACAGCTACTTTTGACCCAATAATTAAATTCATTTTCGGACATATTTGATGCACTTCAAGAAAACTTAAAAGTAAAGTAATGCCATAGGGTGAGAGATATATGATTTACTACGAGAGACAATAGCTTTAGCTTCAATCTCTTGAAATTTAAAAACAAAATTATTGCACTATTAATGAAATATCGCTTTAATAATAAAGTAGATGTGGGCTTATGCACCTTGAACAGAGATTAATGAATAAATATGCCCGGTCCAAAAAAAGAGAGATTAATGAATAAATATAATTTGTTTCATCTTTTAAATTTTAAATTGATAATAGACTTTTATTGATAAAGAATTCAACGATCATTCTTCCAGTGAATAAAAATAAACTAACAAATACACTATAATTGATATAACCTGCCAAACATATATATCACCACTTCTGGTAATTTTTTACTCTCAAAATTATAAACTCTTTTGCCTTACGCAAGATTTCGACACAAGAACAATGAATCTGTCCTCATAATCTTCACTATGCAAAGTCTTCATTCGATCCTAAAAGCATGGTCTATACGCGTGTTTTGCACCTTGCAGAACTTTGCTTTTGGAAAGTTATTCAAATGTTTAAAGTCTTTCACTTTTACAATGAAGTGGTGTCACCGTCAACAACTAATATCCAATAATTACAACAACACTGACCAATGTTCAACAACCCTTGCATTGTTTTATATGAAAGAGTCTACTTCCTTCTCAGTCATTAAGAGCAGTTCAATCATTTTAATTTATGAAAATTAATTATAGATAAGTCTCGGGGCCTAGAAAGCATTATCAAATTATATTAGGCCTACAGAACAATTTTTTTTTTTTCTTTTGGAGCCTTATAAAATTTGGAATGTAGAAACATAGTTGTTGAACTTTTTCCACATGTGATGGATTGTCCATTGATGAAGACACTTATTACTACACCTTGTTTAAGGTAGGAAATCTGTAAGTATTTTTTTAACTATTTGAACTTGGTGACATGCCCTAACTCAATTAATTAAACTTTTTTTTGCATAAAAAACATGTTTTAGTACCTTCAACACGGATTCTAAAAGTTGGTCCCAAAAAAAAACACGGATTCTGCTGTAAGTGATATTATATTTTTATAGACGTGTGATGATCACTTTTTACAAGGAAATGAGTGAACTACATGAAACATGTGCGGAAGTTTCTTGATTCATCCTCTTTTAATTTCCAAAGGTCATTTCAAGTTAATAGAAAACTTTTTTTCCCACATTAGAAAAATAAGCGTTTCCTCATCTCACACTATTTTTCATCCCAAATAAAATGAGAACATATATATATATATATAATTTTTTCTTTTCAACTAAAATATTTTAAAAATAATAATAATTTAAATGAACAGAATTTCAATTTTAATATCATCAGAAAGATATTCGTATATAGTCTCTTGTTTTTTTCTTTTGGCCAATGTAATACCTTGTAAATCCATTTTGTTATAACAGAGATGACTATTATGAATAGGGAAAATGACAATAAAATCCCTCCAAATTATATAAATAATAATTTGATCCCTCAAAATATCATAATTTCAATGAAGTCCTTAGGGACCTCTGTGTCAATAAATTTTAAATTTACCTTTACTGAAAATAACAAACTCCAATTACAAGTATTGTTTAAGAAATCACAACTTTTGTTTTGTAAATTGTAAAAGTTGAATAAGAAATCAAAACTTGTCAAGTGTAATTTATGTTATTGAAAACCAAACCTCAATTACAACTTTTACTTAAAGAATAACAACTTTTGTCTTGTAAATTACAAAAGTTGAACAAAAAATTACAATTTTTCAAATGTAATTTCTATTATTAAAAAATAAGTTTTCAAAATAACAAATCCTATTCACAACTTTTGTTTAAAGAATCACAACTTCTATTCAAAAAATCGCAAGAATTGAATAAGAAATTACAACTTGTCAATAAAGGTAAAATAATCTTTTTAATTTAAAATTTATTGACAAAAGAGGCCCCTAGAGACTTCAGTGAAATTATGATATTTTGAGGGACCAAATTGTTATTTATATAATTCGAAGGGATTTTATTGTCCACTTTCCTTATAACTAAAAACAAAATAGTATTCCTCATAAGAAAACAAAATATTATTCAATATAGAGAGAGAGAGAGAGAGAGAGGACTTTTTCAAATCCTAGGCTAATTAAATGGAAACTTTATTCTTCAAGCCTTGTATAACAGTAATAACCAATCAAGACAATTCAAGAATCATGGAATTTTCATCTCCGTCGATCACTTGCCAAATGCCTTTTCAATTTATGGGCAAATTTTCCACATAAGAAAAGTAAAAGATTCTGTTAGATTTAGTATCTCAATTCATATATGATCAAATAGGATAGAATAAAGTAATATGTACGCACTTGAAGAATCCATGATCGCTTACTAGAGATACCTCGATCACCTTCAGTGTAGACAGACGCACAACCTATTAGACCCCTGAGTTTTCAGAGAATGCAGAGATAATGGAGTGGAAGAAAATGTATTGTGTGTCTTGTGGTTATCATCTGATCGACTTATAAGGATCAAATCAGTAATCGCTTTATTAAATAATTAAATAATTATATTTCATTATCTCTGACTCAGTCAGTTAAGAGATAGGGAATAACTGACGGTTACTGGGTTGTGTTGGGCCTCTATATACACTCGAGGTGATTGAGGTATCTCTAGTAAGTGATCATAGATTTTTTAGGTATACACATATTACTTTATTCTATCGTATTCGATCATATATGAATTGAGATACTAAATCTAACACGTGGCATCAAAGCACAGGTAACGAATATTAATTTTGTAGTATCTCATTATTGTGATAAATTGGATAGAAGATCTTTTCACCTAATATGCTTGATTTCATGAACATGCTTATATATATATATATATATTATATGCTCGATTGTTTCTTTTCCTTGTTATTAAATAGCATTAATTTTTGGGTTGAGAGCTGAGATTATTGCCTTTGCAAAGATATGTCATGCAATCGTTTCTGTGAATCTCTCTCCCTACCTTTGTTCTCGATTTCATGATGGATTCTTTAGATCACAACGTTCAAGATTAAGTACTATTTGGAGGGATTTAGTGCTACCCTTCAGTTATCAAAATCGCCGGAGACGGCACTGTTTGGAGGTTGTAAAAGACTCTGCAAATCGCCGCATCATACACAAGTCACCGTTGTAGGTGACTACGGCATCGTCTGGAGCTAATGTGGAAGGGGTTCTGGAGTCGCCGAAGAAAGGGACAGCGTCGTGGTCTTCACGTCTGACCTCAGTCATCGATGTCGTCTCCCCTGTTCACGATGACGGCGTCTTTTTAGGTTTCCAACTCACGACTAGAGAAGACCTAAGAACAAGGTTAGGAATCGGATCATAAGGATCCAGTTCCACAAGTTCTGGGCCCATTTTCATATGGGCCCAGGTCTTAGATTATTAAAAAAAAGGAAAAGGGGAAGACAATTGGACTGAGTGGGAATTTGTAAGGTTTTTGGGCCGAAATTCCTTAGGCCCAGATATATATATATATATATATATTAAAAAAATAGTTTTTGTTAATTACATTTCAGCCCTAGTTTAAATTACATCACTTGGCCCATAATTTCTAGGATTTACAACGTGACCCCAAGATATTTCTAGAAATTACAGTTTAGTCCCTTAACTTCTAGAATTACATTTTGGACCCAAATCTCTTCCAGAATTATCAATTTACCCTAGAAACCTTTTAAAATTTTTCTTAAGTCCTAAATCTGTTCTCTAATTCTCAAAAGATCCCAAGAACTTTTGAAATTATTTTGTTTTATTCTAAAGTCATAAAATTTGTGATTTTATGAATTATTGATGATGCTTAGGATCTTGTAATATTGATAATGGACATATCCCATAGGTGTGACATTATTAATGTGATTTTGATGGTTAGTTTTGAGGAAAGGCTAATAACGCTCTTTTAATGTATTAGATATTTGTTGTACCCTATAAGTATAAAAATATTTAATGCATTATTTTGTATAGACTTTTGTATAAGCTAAATCTTTATGGTATTTGAGCCTTCTTGGTGCATGATTATAGTTGCATAATTGATAATCGCTTGTTGGGGAATTCTGGTTTATAATTATGTTGTGCACGCATAATTAATATTTTCCATTTTCTGTTTTGTGATTTCAATTTCTGCTTTTGCGCAACTATCATTTGTGAAGACTCTCAATGGGACTAACTATGATGACTGAAAAGAGTCCCTGAATATGTATCTTACCATTTCTAAGACAGATTTAGCTCTGAGAGAACCCAAGCCTATGGATCTCTCTTCTGAATCCAGTGCTTCTGAAATGTACTTCCATAAACAATAGAGTGAGTCCAACTGAATCTGTCTAGCAATCATCAAGTACACAATTGAAAAGGAAATTAGGGACAACATTCTTGAAAAGGATACTGCAGTGAAATACTTGAAAGCTGTTAGTAACAAATATAAGAAGCTCGACAAGACTCAAAAGAACTACTATTTGTCACTTCTTGATAATACTCGATATGACAGAGTTTTTGGTATCAAGGAGCACATTCTGAAGCTTGTTCATTACTATAACAAGTTTAAATCATATGGAATTGACTTAGGTGAAAGTACCTTAGTTTACCATATTCTTCAATCACTGCTATTAGAGTACGCATTCTTGAGGACTTTATACAACCCACAAGAAGCTAAATAGTCTGTTGACTAGATGATATCAATAGTCACTCAAGAAGAGGAAGCTATAAAGAAGA